GACTGATTTGGGTAGGGATTCTCTTTCAAGGCACCGTTGTTGAAGAAGCCTACTGTGCAGTAGATAGACTACTTGTAGCGGGGGGATGATGAGAGGAGAAGGAAGTAGAGTTCCAGGGTAGATTTAGACAGGCCTTCTGGTCTGTGGAATAATGGTAATTTTGTTGTATAAGCTCACTGTAGGCTACAGATTCTGAATTTGGTGTTAACCTTTCTTCCCTTTTCTTTCTTCCGTCCTTCCTCCTTTCCTTTTCCTGCTGCAGGTATCAAACTGACACTGTCAGCTCTGCTGGATGGCAAGAATGTCAATGCTGGTGGCCACAAGCTTGGTCTAGGACTGGAATTTCAAGCATAAATGAATACTGTACAATCATTAATTTTAAACTATTTTGCAGCATAGCTACCTTCAGAATTTAGTGTACCTTTTAATGTTGTATGTCTGGGATGCAAGAATTGCTAAAAATCATGTTAGACCTCCAGGTGAAAGAGGATTCAGCTTTAAAGTGTTACCATTTCAGAGGTACAGAAGAAATCGAGTCCAAAAAAAGGTCCTTTCAGCTGTAGACTTGTGTGTGTGTGTGAGGGACTTGGTGACCCCTCTAGAGATGCCAGGTTTACTTTTTTTTTTAAATCTAGAAATGGCTGCAAATGGAAGATGATAATGTATAGGCACTTTGTAAATCTGTATTGAGTAAATGAATGGAATTGTGACTTCCTGAAAATCAAACCTTGGTTTCCTAACCCTAATTGATGAGGAGCTCATTGCTTGGTGGTGTGTACAAACTCATCTGAAAGGGACTTTTTTAGACAGACCTTCATAACCTTTTTCCACTCTAGCCCATCGTCACCTCTTTTACACCAAAAGTAGTCTGCAGGGTGTGGTCACTGTTTCTTTTTCGTGCCATTTTGGAGTGGAGAGGGTGGACATGATGAAGCCAATAATTCAGGACTTAATTCCTTTTTGTGTTGTGGTTTTCCTGCCCTTGCACCAGTGTCTGAAATAGCTTCCAGGAGCTCCAGCTATAGGCTGGGAAGAGTCTGCGTGATTGTAATCACACAGTGACAACACTAGGAATCTAAATTGGACTTCTGTTATATTCTCACCACTCAATTTATTTTTTAGCAGTTTAATGGGTACATTTTAGAGTCTTCCATTTTGTGTGGAATTAGATCCTCCCCTTCAAATGCTGTAATTAACAACACTTAAAATAAAACTTGAATAAAATATTGAAACCTCCTCCTCCTCCTATTGTCCTTATTAACAAAAATGTATATGAGGGGCTGGGGATGTGGCTCAAGCGGTAGGACGCTTGCCTGGCATGCGTGCGGCCTGGGTTTGATCATCAGCACCACATACAAACAAAGATGTTGTGTCCGACGAAAAACTGAAAAATAAATATTAAAAAAATTCTCTCTATCTATCTAAAAAAATATATATATATATGAAGAGGGCACTTGTTTAGATTTGTTCTTTGTCCCCTTGCTCTGTACTGTGTGTGTGTGTGTGTGTGTGTGTGTGTGTGTGTGTGTGTTTTATTAGTTTTCTCTTGCTATATGACTATGGACTTAACAGCTTAAAAGAACATTCATTTCTGTCACAGTCTGCAGATCAGAAGAACCCTGGCACACCTACCTGGGCTCTCTGCTCAGGTTCTCACAGTGTTAACCAGGCTATGTTCTCATCCCAGCAAGAGGCTTGTGGTCCTTCTAAACCTACATAGATGTGGTAGATTCAGTTATTTTTGCTTGTAGGATAGAGGTCTGAATTTCCTTGATGGCTGTCAGCTTGGGTTCACCCTCAGTACTTAGAGGTTACCAGCATACCTTATCACATGGTCCCCTTCATCTCCAATGCCAGGGGGAAAAAAAAACCCCAAAAACTCTCATGTCATATTCATCTTACACTTCAAATCTCTTCCAGGAGATCCCCATCCCTTTCAAGGTCTTAGTGGATTAGGTTAGGCCCACTGAGAGTAATGTTTTCATAAATTTAACTGTGGGGTAAAGTAACCTAAGCATAGATAAAATACCATCATATCCACAGATTTTTCCCTGTGGGTCATGGAGGCACTCATTTTGGAGTTTTTCCATATATTTGTGTGTGTATGTGTGTGTGTGTGTGTGTGGGGGGGGTATAACTTTATTATGATGGATAATTCACACAAAAAAGTGTAATGAACTATCCAACTTAAGCAAATACAAACATTTTCCCCACTGATTGTTTTTTTAAACAGAATTTTTTTGTTGTTGTTTAATAGTGACATTCAAAACAGGTATCAGATTTATTTTTAACATTTTGTGTAACTGATTACACAGAACTGTGGACCTTAGTGTTTGTCATACTATCTTCATCAGGTTTACAAGGACTTGCAACTTGTTTCTAAGTAAATGTTTAGAATTTTTCCAGAGATTCTGGTAAACAGGTTGCAGAGTGTATCCGGACAGGTGCCAAGTATAGTATTAAATATTTTGAAGTGTATAACTGCCCTCAATATGAGGGAACATTTTGCTCACCAATTACTTAATAAGTGTCTGCCTATTTTGTACGCTGTGCATTGGAATATCCTATGCAAAAATGAAAATGTCTTGAGTATATAATATTAGTTAAGAGAACTGGAAACAATCTGTTATGAAGACAAAGGTTCAGAGGATTGAGGTGTGTTTATTACAGAAAAAAATCCTATTTAAATCTGAAGCAATTTCTAAACAAGCAAGAGCTAGGATTGAGAGGTTTAATTGTTAAACTGTTTTCTTAAAAAAAAAACACAAAACAACAAAAACTTCATTTATTATTTTTGCAGTACTGAGGTTTCCATTCAGGGGCTTGAGCATGTTAGACAAGAGATCTACTATTGAGTTACACCTCAG